CAGAATATGAGCATGCTGAATGTAATGAATTTGGCTTCATTGAAGTTATCAGGTAGATTCCGAGCCAGGAAAGCGAGCACAAAGCACGTGGCAGCGAGCAATCCTATATACCCTAACACAGCACAATATGCTATTGTTGATCCTAAGTCACACTCCAAAATAATTTTTTCTCTATAGTAGCTCATGTTCTTGTTAGGAAAAGGAGCTGATTTTGCCAACCAAACAACACAAATAAAGATCTGTATGAGCGTGAAAAAAAGAACACTTAAGCACTGCTGTTTGGGCCCGAACCATTTCATAATGTTATTGCCTGGAAGTGTAGCCCTAAAGGCCATTAACACCACTATTGTTTTCCCCAGAACACAAGAGATGCACAGGACAAATGTGATCCCAAATGCTGTGTGGCGCAACATACAGGACCAGTCAGAGGGCTGGCCGATGAAAGAAAGTGAACAGAGGAAACACAGAGTCAATGAAAAGAGCAGAAGAAAACTCAGTTCAGAGTTATTTGCTCTTACTATTGGAGTAAATCTGTATTGGAAAAAAATTATAGCAATTGCTATGGTTAGGATACATCCTAAAACAGAAAATGTTACCAAAAGTATCCCCATTAATTCTCCAAAAAATAAAAACTCAATGTTTTTTAAGATGCATTGAGTTCTTTGCGCATTGGATCTGTATTCCAAATGACATTGTGAACACTCCACAGAATCTGGAAATAGAAATCAAATTATAATTTAGTTATAAAATGTGATGTTGAATTTTTAGTTCGGCAACTGAAACAATCCAAAACAATTTGTATCTATTAAGATTATCTGAAGATACAGGAAATACAAAAACGTCTTGATATTAAAAATAGCTTTCTATGTCTATAATGACAGTATTCCTGAAATATGTATATAGAAAAAAATTAAATATAGAAATAACATCCATAAGCAAACAAATATGTTTATGGAAATAGGTTTATTACTTGCTGAAAAAATGCTGAAAAAAAGAAGAGAGAAAAAACACAACGTTTCGGCCGTGGAGCCTTCTTCAGGTGTGACTTAAATATGTTTAAGTGTGTGCATTACAGAATAGAAGAAAATAAATAGAAATATGGCCTTAATGAGCTTACCTGTAGTGTTGCTGAACTCTCCCTCTGCACAGGGGATGCAGACAAAGCAGCAGACTGGCTTCCCTTTCTCAATGGCCTTACGAGTCCCTGGAAGGCAGCTCTCACTGCAGACTGATTTTGGAGCCTAAAATCCAGATTAAATGCTCAAAATTATTTTGGAAATCAGTTACTATGAATACTTACATATACATTTGTAGAATAGTAGAAAATAAATACCCTGTTCTTATTTCTAATGCTCAGACCCCAAAAAAGACTAAGCTCAATGTCAGAACTGAACTAAGATTTGATGTTTTAGATCCCATTATTTTATAGAATCAAATGGTTGCAGATATAGAGGACACATACTGTACTGTAACTCTTCTCTGATTGAGTTGGATCACCAGGAAAAGAGAGGTATGCAAGATTTCTGTCTTTGATGCATCTTTTCTGTCTGTGGTCTTTGAATTAGCATTGAAAAGTCTTGTTTCAGCCAAATGAAAAAGAGAGTGAATACATTACCTTATCTTGATCACCTGCCCACACAGGCCTGATGTCATTCATTATAAACTGCTGTCCTTCTGGTAAAGAGCCATCATATAGACCAATAGTCTGAAATATTGTAATTCCTTCCTCATTATTTTGCCAGTTTATAAGTGTGTATCGAGCTGCTGGATCCCCATTTTTATCAAAATATATTTTCTCTCCATCCCTGGTGGTGAAGTTAACGTTTGTCAGGTAATGCAACACCTAGAAGAAAACAAGAAGTTATCAATATGTTGCGTTTGGATCTCAATAATGTAGACTACAATATACATTATGCTATTTACAGTATGGAGCATTCTGAATGGCTAGATCTGAAATCTTACCTGCCAAGGTTCTATATTGTGTTTGTTTGCACATGTATTTCCATGGAATGGTCCCTGGCCATTTCCACACATGAAAAGGCTGTGTAATGCATGAGCTATAGCATACACTGCTTTATACACATTATATGTCCTTCTTAGCTCTGACACATCTGTATATTGGTTATTAATTCCCTCTAGGGTCTCTTTTCCTGTGCATGGCTCAATACCGGAGTCCTTGTGAGGAGTTAGACTACAGCTGAAAAAACTCTCCCAAAACTTATTCAAGCCAGTGTTTCCAGATATGTTTGACGGACGAGTATTCAGAATAAACTGTTTCAGTCCTGGTATTTCTGCATTTGGAACCGCAAAACCAATGGCTCCACTCAGGACTTTAGTGCCCTCCTCTGACGCAACAAGACTCTCAGCAATCCAGGATTCACTGCCCACCCACTGGAAACCTGTGACATTCTGAATAAACAGTTCTTTTACCAGTATTTCCATATCTAAAGAAGAAGTAAAAGAAACAATGACTCTTGAAGTTGACTTTTTCACAATGTCCACAACCTTAAGTAATTTCTCTCTTGGGTCACTTCTGAAAATGGCCTCTGAATATTCAATACAGATACCCTCCTGCTGGGCAGCTTGTACAAAGGTAGCCATCCCACTGTTGCCATAATCACTGTCACTTCTAATGGCCCCAACCCAGGTCCATCCAAAGTGCTTCACAAGCTTTGCCATTGCTCTGCTTTGGTAATAATCGCTAGGAATTGTTCTGAAGAAGGTGGGGAAATCTTTTCTATTACTGAGACAGGCACATGAAGCAAAGTGACTTACCTGAAGCAAAACAAAAAATGTAGTAAAGAAAAGGCAATTCATTTCAAAGTAATTTGCCATTTACCAGTTCTTAAGAATATGAATTAAGAAAAAAAACGAAATGGCTTTCAAAGAATGAAATGAAACATTGCAGACAATTAAGGTGATTAAGAGTTTTTGTCTCATAATCAGTATTTGTTGCTTCAAAGTTACAAGAACATATTATGTTTTTTCCCTGTACAATAAGTGTAGACATTTTTGTCAATTATTTTATGTAACATAGGCTATCCCTACGCTAATATCTATAACCCTACATTCTAAACATATTATAGTTGGTGCTGTATAATACTGTATGCTGTCTTTCTCAACAACAAAGGAAGTGTCTGAAATGAAATGACTGAAATATCTTAAAAGAAATACAAGAAACTTAAGTATTGTTAAGCCTTTAAGCTTTGTGTACAACATTTCAATTACCTTTTCCTTTTAAGCTCTATTTAGGTTTATCTGAGTGCATGTGCTAAAATAGGATAGATAGGATAGATTATTTAATTCTTGTCATTTTCTAAGTTCAATAAAGTTTTCTCACCACAGGTATGTGAAACGGTCCAACAGTTGCTGCAATTCCTATTGCAAGAGTGGAGCTGGACTGTCCTATGATGGCATGGACTGAAGATGATTTGTTGCAGGGCTGGTCAGTGATAAATCCTTTTTCCTGCCCATTCATTAAGTCTAATGATGCTTTTATAGACAATGGCATTGAACGACAAGCCTCATATATCTTATAGCCCAGGTAAACATCAGGAAGCATTTCTGAACTGTTGTTGATTTCTTCAATAGCAAAGATCATGGCTTGTGCATGCTGTAATTCTCCAGGATGTAATCTGCAGGGAAAATGCTTTCAGTAACACGTTTTTGTGTTATTGCTTTTACAATTACACTTCTAGTGATACAGGCCACAACAAAAACAAAAGTAGGAAAGTAAACATCAGTAAATAATAATAACAGCAATTCAATACGAGCATTTTTGTTAACATTACTTATTCGTATTCCTTTTTTTTTTAAAAAAGTATTATGTCACTTCAAAACCACTTACCCTTCACACTGGATGTGTCCAGGGTTGACTTTAAATGTTGGATTAACAATAATGGGATTTTTATGGAATGAAAAAATTCCTCCTATAATAATGTCACCTTCTTTGGAGAACTGAAGCAGTTCTTGTGTTCCATATTGCTGACAAACAGGCTTTTCAGCTCTTGAGAAAACAGCAATTAGCACTACTTCTGCAAGCAACAACATTGCAAATGCTTTGCTTCCTGTCTATGGGACAAAGTGCTGTTGTTCAAGGCACTTATATTCTGCACTCCAATTCTCAGTTGCCTGACTCAATGCTCACATTTGCTTCAAAGCATCAATTCTCAGAGGTGTGTTTGTCATCTTCATCTGCCTTAGGATGAAGAACAGACAAATAATTATCATCTATACGGTATACACAGACAATATTTCAGTGAAGCATTCTTTTTATATATCCCTGTTACAATAATTCAGAACACAGTCAATCTTTATCTGTGGCTAGAAAATTAATTTCCTAATGGAATTCACAAGGACAATTTTTGTGTATACAGTATTAAATGAAGTGTTTGTAATAACAGATGTTGTTCAATGATAAATGGTATGTATTGCATTTCAGTGCTGTATGACAGAGGAGGAGATGGCATTTCTTGTTATAAAACTAAAATTAGATTTCTAGGGTTATTGCTGATTTTATATGCTGAACAATGAAAAGTATGAACGTTAAATTCCATTACCATCATCCATCCAGTGTGCACATACAATAGATACAATCACAGTTACTCACACCAGGGCCAATTTTCCCAGAGCCCAAATAACCTACCAGTATGTCTTTGGATTCTGGGAGGAAGTGAGAGCACTGGTTTTCCTAAAAGAAACCCATGCAAACACAGGAAGAGCATACAGACTCCACAAATACCCAGGTCTGAAATTGAATGCCTGTCTCCAGCAGTGCTAAGCAGCAAAGCTAACCACTGCACTACCATTTCCTCATTACCATTAATAATGTTGAATTCAGTTGCTGTAGTGAATGAATATGCATTTTGTATATTCATTTATTTAATTTGTACCCTGGATTTCTGGAGGAGAATCTTGTCCCGTTACACAAGAAAGTGCTTTTTACACAGCATCAGGCCAGAGCCTTTATATGATTAGAAGTGTCCATAGCTTAATCTGTCTTTCCACATACTGTATAGCTGTTCTGAAATTGATAGCTGTTGTATTTTCGCTCTTTTCGTCACACTTGAAGAAGGCTCCACACAGGAAAAGTTGTGTTTCTTTTCTTTTCTGCATCTTTCAGCATGGAATGAACCTCTTCCTGTTAATGTGCAGGCAACACATGATAATACAGCTCCCTGCCCAAACGTTTAAAACAGTCTTTACTTTTACCAGTGAAGCTCATTGCTTCCACCAAGGTTGAACATGATACACAGTGTGTCTAAAGGCATGAGCTCCACCAGGCTTAGTGCTGCACCTAGTGGATCCCATGCCATGATTGCTGGCAACGTAACTGTATGGCAGTGCTTTGTACTGGTCATGGTTCCTCACCTGCCATTCCTCCGCTCTGTAGAGTCTTCCTGACCAGACAACAGTCGCAGGGCAATGCCTGCTGTAATGCATCATGTACTGTATTATAATGGCTTTTAGTGGCATGAGAACGTGGCGCTTTCGTCGTGGATCCCATGCTCCCCAACTGTGAATCTGCATGGGACGGGCTGGGAGGACTTGATTGGTGATTGGTGAACAGGCATGTCTGTGACCAGGATCTGTGAGAACATCTGCAAAACATGAGTCACAGATGTACAGCTGGTATTGTTTCCAACAGTGACCACACACACTACTAGCCTGTGACACAAGCCAAAGTATAGTGGACTTACCTGCACAATTGTTTTTCATAAAATGTCTTCATGCTTGCTATAAAAATATATTAATTTTCCTGATTTTAATAAGTTTTTGCAATTATATAATGTTTTTTTATGTAATATATATGTACTAATTTATACATATACTGTATATATTCATATATTTTTCTTTATTTCAGTTAAGGTTTTTTTATTTTCTAAGTATATTTTCAATATTAATGTTGTGTACTACAATACAGAGATTGAGGGACAGTCTGTCAGCTGTCTTATTTTCTTTCTGTAAAGGTTCCCTTCTTGGATGATTACTATCACTTTCCTTTCTTTTTCTCTTCCAGTTTTTCATAATGCCCTGAGACGTCTGATTACCCCTTTATTGTGTTCCCTAATATAAAAACAAACTGCAACTTTGCATCAATATTTCTCTCATCTCTGAGACAGATAACTCATTAAATGGCAAATTTAATTAATTGATCGTTAACTGTCAGGTCAGTTAGTGTGAATTCCGAGACAGGCCATTGCTGACCAAAGCTCAGGACAGAAAGTCATATATGGTAGACCGTCGGACACCAAAATACCAAAACAAAGGTGTTGTCTCCTTTTCCCAGAGAGTAACCTCAAACATTCCATTCCTGCAAGCACAAAGGAGAGACTCTTTCTTTGGAACAGTGTGCTGTCTAGAGTGACTTTTAATTATACAAGTATGAAACAACTAAGATAAATTAATGCATTTTCAACAGGACCATACTTTTATTGATGATTGTAGTACAAGTATTTATTTAAATGACATTTTAAATACATTAATCATTAAAACCTCTGTACAAAGGGCATTTAAATAATAGAAAACATTACTGTCACGCCCTCTGCAGCCAGAGGGCGCTCCTTCTCTGTCCTGTCTTTCACTTCCAGTTCTTTGCTGTCCTTCCGGTGTTGCTCTCTCCCTCTGGGTCTATATATTTCCGGGTCTTGCACTCTGCCCTCACTCAGCATTGACGTTCGGATCTCCTGAGACCCGCCCAGCACCAGGTCGCCCCACGTCTGCTACCTGAGGGCATAGGTTTTTATACGGCACTCCTGAACTCTTTGCACTAATGAGCCCGGGCTGACTCCCCGTCTCGCCGCTACACATAGGGTCATTTTTGCTCTCCTGCCTCTCCACGGTTCCTCTCGTTTTTCAGATATCCGTGACAAATACAGAAACTTTTGTTTTTTTTCTGAAGTAATCAATTGTACCATATACAGTATTGAAATCAGAACAGAAATATTTTGGCAATCACACTGTAAACCTCGCTCTACAAGCCTGGGTTAAAGGCCCAGTTAGATTAAAAACCAAAAGCTACAGCTGTCTGTCTGGACCAATAACAAGATTGCATACATCTACTGTAGATGGTATGGTTATAACTGCTAAAAATACTAGACTACAACATTAATTGATTACATACTGTATTAATGTTGGGGTAAAATAATGAAAAAATATTTTGGATGGAATTGTGGTGTGGCAAATATCACTACTGCCTTAAAGCTCTTCTAGAAGTTCAAAATTGAAACAAAAATATTTAAAATTTACTGTAACAGGATATTTGAAGACATTAATTATTTTACAGAGATTTTGAGGGCATTTTCCCCATCACATGCTGTTTTGTATTTTGTTCTGGTTTAAATAAAATAATGTAACATTTTGGCATAAAAATACAGAATAGCAAACCATAACTTGAAGCTAAAATAGCAAATATTTCCACAGCTACTGTAAACTTCCCCGGAGAACTAACATAAGCTGGGATAAAAGTGATCCAGACTTTACAGAATATGAGCATGCTGAATGTAATGCATTTGGCTTCATTGAAGTTATCAGGCAGCTTCCGAGCCAGGAAAGCGAGCACAAAGCACATGGCAGAGAGGAATCCTATATACCCTAACACAGCACAGAATGCACCTACAGATCCCAGGTCACACTCCAGAATGATTCTGTCTGCATAGTATTTCATGTTTTTGTTTGGAAAAGGAGGTGATATTTTTAACCAAAGAAAACAAATCAAGACCTGTACTAGTGTGAAAGCGAGAACACTTAACCTTTGCTGTGTGGGCCCAAACCATTTCATAATGTTATTGCCTGGCAGTGTAGCCCTAAAGGCCATTAACACCACTATTGTTTTCCCCAGAACACAAGAGATGCACAGGACAAATGTGATCCCAAAGGCTGTGTGGCGCAACATACAGGACCAGTCAGAGGGCTGGCCAATGAAAGTAAGTGAACAGAGGAAACACAGAGTCAATGAAAAGAGCAGAAGGAAACTCAGTTCAGAGTTATTGGCTTTTACAATGGCAGTATATCTGTATCTGAAGAAAACAAAAGCAATTGCTATGGTTAGGGAAGTTCCAAATCCAGAGCATGTGACTAAAAGTATTCCCATTAATTCTCCAAATGACAGAAACTCAATACTTTTTAGGATACATTGACTTCTTTGTTCATTTGATCTGTATTCCAGGGGACATTTTGAGCAATCAACTGAATCTGAAAATCCAAATAAAAAATGAAATTTTAAAATGTTATGTTACATATTTTGGAACAGCATGCCATTTTATACCATAGGTAAATGGAAAAGTGAATATTGCGTATTTAGTATTTAATAATTATTATAACAATTCTCTAAGTGTTATATACAAAAATGTCCACATATTAGAATAAATATATCTTACAGTACATCTGTAAAGTTTGTAAGATTTGAGAAAGACACAATACTATGAGGCAGCAAATGAAGGGAGGTCATCTGGTTAATATACTGTACCTCATTAATTTTCTTATGCAACTTACTGTACCTGTTACATTACTGAACTCTCCCTCTGCACAGGAGATGCAGACGAAGCAGCAGACTGGCTTCCCTTTCTCAATGGCCTTACGAGTCCCTGGAAGGCAGCTCTCACTGCAGACCGATCTTGGCACCTGAAATCCAGATTCAGTGTCAAAGCTATTTTGAAAAACAGTTTTGGAATACTTTAAATACATAGAAAAATGCCACTGCACTATTTTGACACCCTAAAAAGCGGTTAGGCTTCCACCACTTGGTTTATGTACAGCTTCTAAAGAAGGTCAAAGCTGTGCATTCAAAGTCATTTAATCATTTTTTATTAACATATCTTCCATGGCAGATCTACCCAATTCCAAATTTCATGATAGCGTATAACCTGGCTTTTAGGATCTCAGTTTAAAATGTATTTCTGCCCCATAGAATCATTGAAATTATTATTAAACAATATTATTGTTTCCCACTGTTTCTGCTCTTTCTGAATCTATGTGAGCTTTACATTGACATGGGAAAGATCTTGTTTCAGCCTGTATGAAAATAAGATTGAATATATTACTGTACCTTATGCTGATCTCCTGCCCACACAGGCCTGATGTAATTCATTATAAACTGCTGTCCTTCTGGTAGGGAGTCATCATATAGACCAATAGTCTGAAATATTGTAATTCCTTCCTCATTAGGCTGCCAGTTTATAAGTGTGTACCGAGCTGCTGGATCCCCATTTTTATCAAAATACACACTGTCTCCACTCCTGGTGGTGAAGTTTACTCTTCTCAAATAATGTAGCACCTAGAAATAAAAAAAGCTTAAAACTTTCTGTTTTATTTTAAAATAATGCTAAATATTGTAAAGTAGATTTTTTGTACCTGCCAAGGTTCAATTTTCTTTTTGTTGGCACATGCTTCATCATCAGATGATCCTTGACTGATTTTGCAAGTAAAACGGTTGTGTAATGAATGGGCTACAGCGTACACTGCTTTATACACATTGTTGGATATCCTCAGTTCTGATACATCCGTGTATTGATTGCTTATTCCTTTCAAGGTCTCTGTTCTTGTGCATGGCTTAGTACTTGAATCATTATGAGACCTTAAACTGCAATTGAAAATAGTCTCCCACAATTCGTTTAAGCCAGTGTTTCCAGAAGTGTCTGATGGACGAGCATTTAGAATAAATTCCTTCAGACCTGGTATTTCTGCATTCGGAATTGCGAAGCCAACGGCCCCACCCAGGACTTTATAACCTTCCTTTGATCCAACATATCTGTTAGTAACCCATGCTTCACTGCCCACCCACTGGAAACCTGTGACATTTTGAATAAACAGTTCTTTTGCCAGTATTTCCATATCTAAAGAAGATGTAAAAGCAACAACTACTCTTGAAGTTGATTTTTTCACAATGTCCACAACTTTAAGTAATTTCTCTTTCGGGTCACTTCTGAAAATGGACTCTGAATACTCAATACAGATGCCCTCTTTCTGAGCAGCTTGTAAAAAGGTAGCCATACCATCATTGCCATAATCATTGTTGCTTCTAATGGCCCCAACCCAGGTCCATCCAAAGTGCTTCACAAGCTTTGCCAGGGCTCTGCTTTGGTAATAATCACTGGGAATTGTCCTGAAGAAGCTGGGGAACTCCTTTCTGTTACTGAGGCAGGCACAGGAAGCAAAGTGACTTATCTAAAGCAAAGAAAATTGTGGGAAAAGGAGAGGCAGCTAATTTTAAATGATGTACCATTTCCAGCTTTTAAGACTGTGTTTTAAGACAAAAAAAATAATTGCTTTCATTTCAAAGTATGAAATGACAGATAGTAGATAAGCTGATTTTAATAGTTTTTGCCTCATTATTAGTGTCTGTTGCTTTAAATGAATTAACTTACAAGAGCATTCTTTTATGATTAGACCCTGTTCAAAAAGTGCATACATTTTTGTTGTCAATCACTTTACATAAAATAGGCCTTTCCGACACTAATATCCATAACTCTACATTCTGTATGTGTTATAGTTGATGTTGTATTATACAGTAGGTGTTGCCTTTCTAAACAACAAAAAAACATTTTTTTGAAATACAAGAAAATGAAATATTATTAAGCATTTAAAATTTATGTACAGCATTATTAATCTCTTTTCTTTTTGAGCTCTATATGTGAGCATGTGTTGAAATAGGATGGATAGATAAGTTTTAATTCTAGTCATTTTCTAAGTTAGGTTTTAATTCTTGTCATTTTCTAAGTTCAATAAAGTTTTCTCACCACAGGTATGTGAAAAGGTCCAACAGTTGCTGCAATTCCTATTGTAAGAGTGGAGCTGGACTGTCCTATGATGGCGTGGACTGAAGATGATTTGGTGCAGGACTGGTCTGTGATAAATCCTTTTTCCTGCCCATTCATTAAATCTAATGATGCTTTTATAGACAATGGTATTGAACGACAAGCCTCATATATCTTATAGCCCAGGGAAACAGCAGGAAGGATGTCTGAACTGTTGTTGATTTCTTCAATAGCAAAGATCATGGTTTGTGCATATTGCAATTCTCCAGGATTTAATCTGCAAGGAAAATGCTTTCAAGTAATTTTCAGGCTCTTGTGTTATTGCTCTAACATTTAAAATATTCGTGATTAATACAACAACAAATACAAAAGTAGTAAACTAAATATGCAATAATTTCAGCATAATATGACTCATTATTCATATTTCTTTGTTTAAAAAAAAGTATTATGTCACTTCAAGACCACTTACCCTTCACACTGGATGTGTCCTGGGTTGACTTTAAATGTTGGTTTAACAAGAATGGGATTTTTATGGAATGAAAAAATTCCTCCTAAAATGATGTCACCTTCTTTGGAGAACTGAAGCAGTTCTTGTGTTCCATATTGCTGACAAACAGGCTTTTCAGCTCTTGAGAAAAGAGCAATTAGCACTACTTCTGCAAGCAGCAACATTGCAAATGCTCTGCTTCCTGTCTATGGGACAAAGTGCTGTTGTTCAAGGAACATATATACAGCATATACAATTATCAGTTGCCTGAGTCAATGATCACGCTCGCTTCACTGGATTAATTCTCCGAAGTGTTTTCAATATCTTGGACTGCCCTAGGAGAAAAAAAAAGAACAGAAAAATAATAACTGTGTAGGATGCAGATAGAGAATATACAGTATCAGTCAATAATTGTTTTTAGACATTCATACTCAATAAACTGCCCCACCACTAATTTCTCTTAAAATTATACAGAACACTGTCAATTATTATCTGTGGTTACTAAATTAATTTCCTAGTGGAATTCCTGAAAACATTTTTTGTGTATTTCTAAATTTTTTGTTAAAATGATCTTAAATGAGAAATTCTTTTTCAGTTCAGAATGGCAAAGGAGGAGCAGGGCTTAACTGTTTTTAAAAACATGTCTATTTCGACTACGCTTTTAGATTTTTTAGGTCACTGCTTATTTTATTTCTTGAAGAAAGAAAAATATGAAGATTAAAATTCAATACCTTCATCAATCCATTTTCTAACCACTTCATCCAATTCAGGATCATAGTGGAGCCAGAGCTTATCCAGGCAAGCAACAGGAACAAGGCAGTATATACCCTTAATAGGGCCCCCATCTCAGGACACACACAGACACAAACAAACACACTCACACCAGGGCCAAGTTTCCCAGGGACCAGTAAGCCTATCAGTGTATCTTTGGAAGGAGCACCTATAGGTAACCCACACAAAAAGAGGGAGAACATACAAACTCCACACAGGTAGTCTCCCAGGTCTTGAATTGAACCCCACCACTTCAAATCAACAATCATACCCACTGCGCCATCATGCAACCCTCTTGGGTACCAATTATGTTGAATTCAATTGCTTTAGTGAATGAATAGTTTTTTTTGTATGTTTATTTAAGTAATCTGTACCCTCTTATGTGGGAATATTGAAGAAGAATCTTGTCCTGTTACACAAAAAGGTGCTTTTTACACAGTATCAGGCCAGAACCTTTACATGGTTGAAAGTGTCCACAGGTTTATGCTTTTCTACAGTATATATAGCTGTCCTGAAATTGTTTAAAAATAATGAAAATGAGTTGAAAGAAAACTGATTTTGTACAGCTTCTTTATTGTTTATGTTGCAAACACCAAAATAAAATAGCATAGCATTATCATATTAGCTTCCTTTTTTGTTTGTGTTAGGAACTTTTAAATCTGAGAAATTGCTTGAATTTTGTTGATTGAAATAGTTATTTTGTAATATTAACAATTTTTAATAACACTTACAAATTAACTTCAATTTAATTTTAACTTCAGACTTCAGTTAAGCATATTTTACATTAAGATCTAATGTTGACAATTTTGTTTTATGTTTTAAGACATTATTATGAATAGTTATAGCCTGTAGCCACCAATGTAGGTATTTTTTCAATCTTTATTCTGATTTTGAATAAAATAATTATGTTATTACAAATATACTGATCATCAGATAAATGTTCTATTTTATTTAGCTTTTTATGATCTAAGAACTCATTGGATTGTAACAAAAACTATGATGGAGTTGCAGGACAAAGTTAATCTTTAGAAAAACATTATGAATATCGCTAGTTTCAACACTAACAAAAAGCTGGCTGAGGAACTAGACAGTTTTTAACCTATATTTAACAAGCATGAACTTTGTAGAGAAAACAGGGAACTTAAGAGAAGCTCACTGCTTCCACCAAGGTTGAATTTAATACAGAGTTTTTCAAACATTTTCAAGACAATTAGTCTTGGACCTGATCACATCAGTGGGCAGGTACTGAGGTCATGTGTTGAGCAGCACAGAACTATATTTAAATAGATAGATATGACTTTATTGTTCCCGAAGGGGAAATTAAGGTGTTACAGCAGCCCAGCCCAAGACAAGCAAAAACAGAATCAGAATAGACAAAAAATTAAAATACGTACAGTAATACAAAATAAATCTAAGATAAATACATAGTTAGGTGTGTGCAAAATATGCTCATAGTCACTGTAAAACAAAAAAAATACGTGCAAAATGTGCATATGACATATATACAGATTGAGTGTCCAAAAAGTACAATAGTGCAACATGCTGTACATAGACGAGCAGCTGAAGGGCTAACAGTCCTAGCTTAGTGTTATACACCCTGACAGATGCCAGGAGGAAAGACCTGTGGAAACGTTCCCTTGAACACCGTAGCTGGAGCAGTCTGTTGCTAAAAGTGCTCCGCTGCCTAATAACAGACCCATGTAGCAGATGAGAGGCATTGTTCATGATGGCTGTGAGCTTGGTCAGCATTCTCCTCTCCACCAGCACCTCCAGGAGGTCAAGGCTCAGCCCCAGCACAGAGCCATCAAGCCTTCTTGATGAGTTTATTGAGTCTATTTACATCTCTTGTCATGATGCTGCTGCCCCAGCACACAACAGCGTAGAAGATGGCCACTGCCGCCACTGATTCATAAAAAATGCGTAGCAGTGTTCCACACACACCAAATGACTTGAGCCTCCTAAGAAAATAGAATCGGCTCTGACCTTTCTTGAACAGGGTGTCAGTGTTAACAGACCACTCCAGCTTATCACCCAGGTGTACCCCTACAGTAAGTACTTGTAGGACTGCACCACCTCTATGTCCTCACCCTGGATGGAAACAGGGTTCGGCGGAGATTTATTCCTTCAAAAGTCCATGACCATTTCTTTAGTCTTGCTGGTGTTTAGCTGGGTGTTAGCTGGTTAAGATGACACCGCTCCACAAAGTTGGTAATCAAACTCCTATATTCCTCCCCCTCCCTTCACTAATACACCCCACAATTGCAGAGTCATCTGAAAACGTCTGCAGATGACATTAGAGTTGTACTTGAAGTCAGAGGTGTAAAAAGTGAACAGGAATAGTGCAAGGACAGTCCCCCGTGGAGCCCCAGTACTGGTAACAATCTGTTCTGACACACAGCTCTGTAGCCGTACATACTTTGGCCTGCAAGTCAGATAGTCTATAATTCAGGATACGAGGGGAGTGTCCACCTGCGCCGGCCTTAGCTTATCTCTCAGTAATGGGGGATGGATGGTGTTAAAGGCACTGGAGAAATCAAAGAACATAACTCTCACAGAGAGTTAGCTCTGTGTAGCAGATAGATGACAGCGTACTCCAGTTCCAAGTGTGACCGGTAGGCGAACTGCAGGTGGTACAGTGCTGTACTCACCAGGGGTTCTGAGGTGGTCCAGTACAAGCCTTTCATTCATGAGTTTTCATCAGGTGTGATGTCAGTGCCATGGGTCTGTAATCGTTCAAGACTTTAAGGTGCCCCTTTTTGGGTACTGGCACCAGGCAAGATGTCTTCCAGAGCATCGGAACCCTTTCTAATCTCAGGCTCAGGTTGAAGATGCACTGCAGCACTCCACCCAGTTTGTCCACACAGATCTTTAGCACCCTAGAGCTGACACTGTCAGGACCCGCTATTTTCCCTGCATGGAGTCTCCTCAGCTCCCTTCTGACCTGGTCAGCTGTGATGGATAGACTGAGGAGGGCAGGGGAAGATATAGTAGGAGGGATATCATGATGGGGTGACTGAGGACATGAAGAGGGTGTCTGGGGTGAAGGCCTGTGAGGTGAATGGACAGTGGACCCTGTATCGAATCTGTTAAAGAAAATATTCAGCTCATTGGCCCTCTCCAGGCCTCCCTCAGTCTGTTGGCCGCTGGACAGCTTGTATCCGGTGATCTTTCTCATGCCATTCCACAATTCTCTCACATTGTTCTCCATCACCCTGTCCTCCATTTTCCTCCCATAAGCCACCTTGCTTTCTCCAACTCTCTTTTAGCACTTTCTGTGCTCGCCTCAGCTCCTCCTAGTCACCTGCCCAAAAAGCCCTCTTTTTTCCTATTTAGGACGGCCTTCAGATCACTGGTGACTCAGAGTTTATTATTGGAGAAGCAGCACACTTTCCTGATGGGCACTGCACTGTCAACACAGAAATGTATGTAGTAAGTGATGCAGTGGGTAAGACCATCAATGTCATCTCCATAAGGCTCACAGAGTATCTCCAAGTCCGTTGTTTCAAAACAGTTCATAGGTGCATCATTAGCTTCAGCTGACCATCTCCTCACTGTCCTGGTGGTCACTGGTTACTGTAGGACAAGAGGCTTGTACAGAGATAGGAGATTGACAAGGTTGTGGTCAGATCTGCCAAGTGGGGGGAGTGATGAGGAGCTGTAGGCATCCTTGACATTAGCATACAGCAAGTCCAAAGCACAAAGGAGAGAATCTCTTTGGAACAGTGTGCTCTCTAGGGTGAGTTTTAATTATCCAAATATGAAACAACTTATAATACTGAAAATATACATTAAAAATTATTTTATTGATGATTGTAATACAGGTATTAAATTACATTTTAAATACAGAAATCATTCAGATTTCTATAAAACATTAATTTAAATAATAGAACATGTTACACTGTAACCCCGACACTGTAATAACACTGTAGGAGCTCTTAATCATGAAAAAAGATTTACATGTCCTTTTTTAGCTGTATTAGTTTTACAATTTCTGTCAGTTCTTGCACAGGGTGTGTATAGGGTGTGTAGTGGGAATGAACCCCTTTTTCAGTTCCTGTTTCAGACCTCCACTCATCCAGGTGAGTTAGCTGAAATGCAACCAACTCTGGACTTAAGATGATGGAAAAAGACAACACTACAGCTGTGCTGTTTGATACCTTATGTTTCACGCTTTTGTTAATAAAAAACTGACCCCTTTATAATAGTTTTAGTCAGAAATATACAATCTTAACAAGCTGAGGAAATCCTACTTTATTTTCAGTATGCTGGAGGTACTGGAAATAATACACTTTAACTAAGGTATTTTATAAACCAAGGACTGAGTGGAGAAAGGTTTAAACAAGAAAACTGATCAATAAAACTACATGCATCAGTGGTTAAAGGCCCAGTTAGATTAAAAACCAGAATAGACAGC